AGCCAAGATTGTGGACACAGCCACTGTGAACACGATGGCAAACATGGTCTGCTGGAGGATGCAGGTGGCTGTGTTGGGATGGCCAAGGAAAAGCAGGGAGCAGAGGAAGCACAGACACAGGGAGGCGAGCAGGGTGTAGCTGAGGTTGCGGTTATTGGCCTTGACTAGGGGAGTGTTTCTGTGCTTCACAAACACCCCAAGTACCAGAGCAGTGAGCACAGAGAAGCCAAGAGCCAGCCCGGCCAGTGCTGCTCCTAACGGGTCTTCATAGGCCAGGAACACCACGACCTTGGGCAGGCACCGATCTCGTGCAGGATTTGGGTACTGGTCGTCTAGACAGTGCACACACTGCTCCACATCTGGGGAGACAGGCAGGGCATTATTTGGCTGGTAGTGATTCTCAGCATTCACTCATCCCAGTCACAGAAAATATTTTTCTCTAACTGTGTTGCCTTATTGGACACCAACCAAGGTTAATCATGGAGTATATTTCCAAGGCAATTTCTGTCCCCTTCTCCTTTTCTTCCTCTTCTCTCTTTTTCTCTCACTCTCTCTCATTCTGTCACTCTCTCATTGAGCACATGCATGTACTCTCTCTCTTCTTGCCTTGGGAATAGCAATAAAATTCATATTTCCCCTTGGTGATTAGCTTTTATCTTCAAAGTGTAGTTTTCTGTATCACAATGAAACCATCATCTATACCTATTTTAGCTCAATACATCATTCTCCCATATTTTTTATTCATTCATGCAGAAAAGCAAGCAACAAGCAAGAAAGGGCCTAGGTTCTGGGTGATATTACATGATCAAGACATAGAATGTGGACTTGGAGACCTTTGGAATTCCATATTTACCCACTGCGATATCCCATTTTTCAGAAAAGGAAAATGCACCACAGAGTGGAATCCACTCATACTATGTCCTGGAAGAACTACGATTCCCATGAAAGGGAATGTGAGTGAAACCCTAGGATATTTCTGTCCTCCAACAACGTTGTTATAGTCAATAAAATCCATAAATTTTCTCCTAAAATGTTCTAGGGTCAGCAAACTATAGAAATTACAGAGGTATTCCAGGGAGTTCCAGGTTTTAGTATGTAACAGTAAGAGTAGTGATATATGTGAAGAGATTTAGGGTAACTATAAAACATTTCAGAATATGAAAACAGAGGTCATAGGAGTGTCAAAAGGCAAAGAAAGAAACACTGTCTCAGGTTTAACATACATTTTCACACGTGACAGTCAATGTCCCCTCTGTGAATGTGGTCTGGAAGCCAGTCCTCTCATTATGCTTCCATTTAACCTTCTGAACACTTTGTCAAATCCCAGTGTTGTTAGAATGTCACAGTGGACACATTACAGATGACAGGAACTGATAACGCTTAGTTTTCATCTTCTTTCACTAAATACAGTTTCATTTTAGCAGTTCACCCCTGTTTCACTCGCTTCCATTTCATCAATTCTTTTATAGGCATTAGCAAATTTTGGTAATCTTCATTTCATGCTTGAAGTTACTATAGGAATGTTTCTTGCTGTCGGCGGAATCATTGATTTCTGCTATAATTGATATCAAGTGTATTTTTTGCATAAATTGAAACTCTTAGTTACTATAATGATAGCTACCTGGTAACCTTACTGAAGTCTAATATCAATTTTAATGGTACTTAATTATAAGGCTGAGAGAGAGAGATGGCAAGAGACACAGAAATGGGAAGGGAGAGGGAGAAAGATTTTCCCATTTGCTGGTTCATTCTCCATAGACACACAGTTGCCAAGGCCAGCCCAGACCGAAGACAGGAACCTATTTCTCTCAGGAAGGTGGAAGGGATCCAAGTACTCAAGTAATTATCCACTCATTTCCAGGGCTCGATGATTGGAAGCTGGGTGAGGGGATAGCATGTGCCAGAGCTGGTCAAGCTGCTGCCCACAATGCTGCCATGCTCTATGAGTGCCTGTACCAGTGCCAGCTGCTCCACTTCCAACCCAGCTACCAGCTAATGTGCCTGGAATATCAGAAGAGGACTCAAGTATTGGGCCCCTAGCACCTACATGGGAGACCTGGATGGAGTTCCAGCCTCCTGGCTTCAGTGTGGCCCGGTCCTGGCCCTGATGGAGTGAATCAATGAATGGAAGACTTCTTTCTTTGTCTCTCCCTCTCTCTGTAACTCTGCTTTTCCAGTAGATAAAGAAATTTGAAACACGCACTGCAGCACAGAGCTGGCATGGAAGTGGAGGAGCTGAGACTGGAACCAAGCATTCTGGTAGAAATGCAGACATGTCAACGTGAGTTAGCAGCTGTGCCCGACTCCCACTGGAGGTCTCTCTCTTCTTTGGTTCTTCTTTCATTTAGACTATTTTCCCATGGCCAATATCTATGTTATGATTTCTAGCAGTGGACACAGGGAGACCAACCAGTCTCTCCCACAATCTGCTTACCATAAGGTAAGCTTGTGTTCTGTGGGAAGTGCTGGGACCTGTTGTAGAGGAAAAAGAAGAGTGCCAGAGTAGGCTACTTAAAAAATAAATTAATAAAAACAGGGACCATTGTACCTGAGTGCCTACAATCATGACTACACAGAGGCAAACAATGGGGATGAAACAGGCCAGAGTTTGGATTCACTTGCATCCCTCATGACCAATATGAGTGAGCAGTGCCAAGGACACTCAGGCTGAGATGGTTCTGGGAAGCCTTCAAGATCTCAACACATGATTACGCTAAGCTCTTTCTCTCAAGACCCCAACAAATTTCAAATTTGCATCTCATGCTGTGCTTTCATGTTGGTCATAAGACCAATTAAATTTAATTTAATTTAAATTAACCAAAACTACAGAGAATTTTAAATTCTGCACCTGTCTCATTAGAAATATCATTCTCTGGACAAGGGGTACAGTCGAAGCAACAGGCAGCTTGTCCCTCCTGATGGGTTTTCCTGAATCCTGGGCCACAGCTCTCACTGCACACAGAACGGGGAATCTAAAACAAATCAGAGAGTCTTGAGAAGTGTCATCATGGTTATCTGATTCTGTTCCCACTGTGCATTGTCAGAATATCCAGGTGGACAAGAAATCGGCACACTCCATTCATGGCCTGGGCACTCTGTTTCAGCAGGTGACACTCAGTTATCCACAGGGAAACATTTTCTTGGACATTCAGTGGAAATCACCAGAGTAAGCAAAATGGCAGTGCAGAAGGGAAGTTGGCGTGCACTTGTGTGCTGCTCTGCCATGACTCAGGACCTGCACAATTCCCAGCATGGAGCTCTGTACTGAAGATCTCTCTGTAAGCACAAACTGGCATAGTTTTGGAAAAGACTTATTTATTTATTGGAAAGGCACAGTTACAGGGAGAGAATGAGAGATAGGGAGAGAGAGAGAGAGGTTGATGTTCCATATTCTGGTTCACAACCCAGACATTTGCAATGGCCAGAGCTGAACCGATCCAAGCCAGGAGCCAGAGCTTCTGCCAGGTTGTCCAAAAGGATCAGTAGTGCCAACACTTGGACCATCTTCTGCTGCATGTCCATGTGCATTATCAGGGAGCTGGATTGGAAAAGGAGCAGCAGGGACTTGAACTGACTCCCATATGGAATGCCAGTGCTGCAGTTGGCAGCTGTACCCCCTATGCCACAGTGCCAGCCACAAACCTGGTATTTCAACTGTGCAACCGACCTCTTTAAACTCCACATTCCACTCTATCATCTCCTCAGATATGGAAAGACGGTGACCATGTGGAGCCCGTGGTGAAAACTTTCCAACCTTCACCTGGAGGTGAAGGCCTTGAGGGAAATTCCAGTAGTTGAGAATGTCACAGTCTTTCCTAGAAACTTGTTCCTGATCCAGATTCACTTCATCACCAACACTGTTGTCAAATTTGATGTTCTTCAGAAAGGAGTTAAGCTCAAAAAGAAAAAAAATAAAAAGAAAGAAAGGAAGCACACTTACATAACTGTGTATTCAATTTAGATAGAGGAATCTCTGATTGGAGTCAAACTATTGAAGCTCATCAGAATTATTGCTTTAGATTGTTTCTGTTTTAAAATTTTAAATTTATAATTATTCAAATGGGATAATACATTGATAGCGCATGGTTCAGGAGACGATGTTTAAAGTAAAATATATATTGTCTATTACAATACACGGTGTGATAGTGGAAATAGCACAGAATTAAAATGATCCATAACCTTTACTATATTGCCATCCTTCACTCCTAGAACCTCAGAATTGTGATTGTATATGCCAACTAGCTTTTTGTGGAGAAAAAGAAGTTAAAATAATGTCATAGGGGGGAGGATCCTGAATGCAGTGTGGCTGGCATCCTCAGAAGTAGCGGAAGTCTGGACACAGTGCACACACAGGGAAGACCCTACGAAGACACAAAGGTAGTATAGCCATCTGACAGTAGAGGAGGCAGACCTCAAAGAATTCAACCCTCCGGGCAACTTGGTCCAAGACTTCAGCTACCGGGACTGTGAGAAAAGGAATTTCTGTTCTTTAAACTGTTTAGTATACACTACTCATTAATATGATCACTGTACATGGTATTCAGAAACATGTCTATAATAAAGTCAAATACATCATCACCCACTTACATAGAGCTTGGGTTGCCTTCTGTATAAATTGAGGTAATAACATTTACTGCCTAAAACACTTGCAGAATTCCTTATGGTCAGGCCTTGTTGATGCCTGGCGAATGTTGTCATCAACAGAATAGCTTCCCACTTTCTGTATGCCATTCTGTGTAAAATTCCTCAGTCCTGGAAGAGATCCAGATGTGGCACACTGAAAATGCCAGGGAACATCGGCCACATGTGTTACAGATTTTGTGACAACAGAGCTTTCTGTCATCCCATCATACCCTATAAGCAATTCATGATGTGGCTAAGTATGAGCAGAGTCTCTGTACTGTGATAGGTCCACAAGGACCAAGGAAAAGCTGCCTGGAGAACATACAGTACCTGCCAGGGTACACCATCAACCCATCTCCATTCCACACTGGCTGCACCTCTACCCGCTGAAGAAGCATCTCATGAAGGGTGTGGGCCACGGCATACACAGCATTGTAGATGTGGTAACTCCCTTCAGACATGCTCATGTCAAAGACGTGCACTGGCAGATCCTCCAGAGAGGCATTCGTGGGACAGCCCTGCAACATCTCACAGTCGGACTTTGAAATCGAGCAGAAGAAATAGATAAGCCAAAATTTAGTGAGGTAAAAGTCTTCTGGGTACTTGGAAGGATTCACTGTCTTGAGAAAATGCTTGAAACCAGGGATTTCATCGTGGGAGTGTGAAAAACTCAAAGTCCCATGGAATGTGTCCATCATGAGCTCCATCTCACTGGGGATGAAATCCCATTGTGATGTTGTGATCCACACTTTCCAAGTCACAAGGAGCCCATATTTTGAGAAGCTCAGGCCCATTAATGAGTCCGTGTCACCATAAATGACCACCACGTTTGCAGTTGATTCCAGGATTCTAAAGTGGTAGTGCCAATCAGATGGTGCATTCCTCTTGCCCATGACAGAGAGCATTTCCACAAGGCCACACAGACCTCGTTCTTGTTCATTTCATCTCTTATATCCCACAGGAATTGAATGCCCCTGGTGTCCTCAGAGATGACCAACCCCGCCCACGTCCAGTGGAAATGCAGCATCAAGGACACCATGCCCAGGCCCATAGATGATTCCCTGGGAGCCATCTGGTAGGTAAACTGACGATTTTCTCCCAGAATTTGATCAAAAGGACCATAGGTGAGCTAGAGTGAAAATGAAGATGTGAGAACAAATGAGTTCTGTGGAAGCAAGACCTCGGAATGTATTCCAGGGAAGCAGCACACTCCATGCACACACTTGGCTCTGAGAAGATTTCACTCATTTATTGCTGGATATTGATTGGAGGAAGTGTTGGAAGTCAACTTACAGGACTTCACTCCCCCTGTAAGGGCTCTCTGGAAGACTGACAGAGCTTTGCAGCTCAGCACTTCAAGGTATGACAGTGAATAGACAATTGTAAATGCTGCATTTACTCATCTCCTTCCACCAGGAAAGTTGTGGTGGAGCAGCTCTATGTGCACCTGTTCAATTCCCGGTTGCTCCACATCTGAACCAGCTCCCTGCTAATGTGCCTGGGAAAGCAGGGAAGAAGGCCCAAGTCCTTGGATCATGCGACCCATGTGGAAGACACAGTGGAAACTCCTCTCTCTCTCTCGCTCTCACTCTCTCTCTCTCTCTCTCTCCTTCTGTGTACCTCTGCCTTTCAAATAAATCCATAAAAATAGGAAAAGTCCAATGAAGACAAACACACACACACACAAAGTTTATATTCTGCTCTATAGAAATACATGAAACTACTCAATTTTATACTCTTGAAGCCACCTAAGAAGGCACCTGAAGAGAAAAGATGTATTTCTCCCCTTACCTGAGGGAATTTGTAGAGTTCCAACAGCGTCCCTATCTGTGCTGAAATCGCCCCTGTGTTTCCTGTAATGACTGCCACAGACTTGCTCTTCCTCACACAGGTGTAATTAGGAATGGCCTTGCCCACTGCAGACAACCAGGTCAGGGTGCTCTCCAGGGTCTTCCATTCACTATGGATGGCGTTGTAGAGATCAAATCCCAGGGACACGTTGGGTAACAGGTGTGGGTTCCTGTTGACCTCTTCAATGGCAAATATAAAGGTCAGAAGATACTGGTAACTTTTAGGTTGTAACCTGCAAGAAAGCATACTCAGACCTCACAAACAAGTTCACACCTTATTTTTTTGGAAACATCTGCTGTACACTCAAGTCATTCATTCCAAGAAAATCAATGCAGTGTTGGGGGCATTGTGGAAAATAATTAAAACTCACAAAAGGAGAAATGTCTTTACCAGATGCACTATGAATACTATGAATCAGAGAATATTTGATGTCCTCTGACCCTCATATTAAAGGTAAATGTGTCAGTGGAATTACTTTAAAAAGTACATTGAAACTGACCCACAAAACAGCCTTAAAATACTTCTTTTCTTTATGAAAACTCTAAGCAAATCTGGGCTAGAAAGAACATTCCTCAAACTAATTAAGGCAATTTACAACAAACACAGGCCAGCATCCTGTCAAAGGGGGAAAAACTGGAAGTATTCCCACTGAGATCTGGAACCAGACATGGATGCCCACTCTCTCCATTGTGTTCAATATAGTCCTGGCAGTTGCACCAAAAGCCAACAGGCAAGAAACAAAATCAAAGTGATTCAGATCAGTTAGGATGAAGTCAAACAATCCTATTTTGCACATGATACGATGATACATACAGGGAAACCAAGAAACTCCACTAGGAGAATACTGGAACTCATAAAAGAGTGGGGTTTAATAGCAGGATCTAAAAACATACAAAACAACAGGCGTTTACACACAGACAATGCCATAGCTAAGAAAGGATTTCTAACATCCATGCCATTAACAATATCTACAGAAAAATTAAATACCTTGGGATAAATTTAACCAAGGAACTCAAAGATACCTAATGAGAATTACTAAACTTTAAAGAACAAATAGAAGGAGACATAAAAAATGGAAAAACTTCCAATTTCATAGATCGGAAGAATAAATACCATCAAAATGTCCATTCTCCAAAAATAATTTTCAGATTCAATGCTATACCAATCAAAATAGCAACAACATTCTTCTCAGATCTAGAAAAAATGATGCTCAAATTCATTTAGAAAAATAAGAGGCTAAAGCATCTTATACAACAAAAATAAAGCCAGAGGCAAACAATACCATATTTTAAGACATACTACAAGGCAGTTATAATCAAAACAGCCTGGTACTGGTACAAAAACAGAAGGATAAACCAATGGAAAAGAATAGAAATGCCAGAAATCAATCCAAACACCTACAGCCAACTTATATTTATATATATTATATCAAGGATCCAAAACCAATTCTTGGAGCAAGGACACTATCTTCAACAAATAGTGCTAGGAAAACTGGATTTCCACTGCAGAAATATGAAGCAAGACCCTTACCTTACACCTTAAGAAAAAGCCATTCAGGAAGGGGAGAGGGAGTGGGAAAGGGGAGGGTTATGGGTGGGAGGGACATTATGGAGGGGAAGCCATTGTAATCCATAAGCTGTACTTTGGAAATTTATATTCATTAAATAAAAGTTAAAAAAAAAAAAGAAAAAGCCATTCAAAATGCTTAAAAGAGTAAATCTAGGTCCCTACACCATCAAATTACTAGAGAGCATTGATGAAACCCTTCAAGACATTGGCCTAGGCACAGAGTTCCTGGAAATGACCCAAGAGGCACAGGCAATAAAATCCAAAATTAACAAGTAGGATTATATCAAGTTGAGAAGCTTTTGTAGAGCAAAAGAAACAGTCAGGAAAGTAAAGAGACAACCAACAGAATGGGAGAAATTATTTGCAAACCATGCAACTGATACTGGATTAATAACCAGAATATATAAAGTGATCAAAAAACTCAACAATAGCAAAGCAAAGAACCCAGTTAAGTGGGCAAAGCACTTACATAGACATTTCTCAAAAATAGCAAATCCAAATGGGCTACAGACACATGAAAAATGTTCAGGATCACTAGCCCTCAGGGAGATGCAAATCAAAGCCAATATGAGGTTTCGCCTCACCCCAGTAAGAACAGCTTTCATACAGAAATCAACAAACAACAAATGCTGGTGAGGATGTTGGGAAAAGGTATCCTAATGCAGTGTTGGTGGGAATGCAAACTAGTAAAGCTAGTATGGAGACAGTTTGGAGATATCTCAGAAATCTGAATATAGCCCTACCATACCACCCAGCCACCTCACTCCTCAAAATTTACCCAAAGGAAATAAAATTGGCAAATAATAAAGTCCTCTGCACCTCTATGTTTGTTGCAGCTCAAACCACGCTAGCCAGGAAATTAAGTCACCCTAAATGCCATTATGTATCAGGATACATTCAAAGGCCAGGGCTACAGCACTGACACATAATTAAAAACAAAAGAAATTCAAATCACCAGCACTAGGAGAGAAGCTGCAGGCAGCAAATAAGGAACAGCTAGGGTGGAAAGAATGGGCCATCAAAGAAGGAGGTACCTTTCTCTGAAGGGAGGAGAGAACTTCCACTTTGACTCTGGCCTTGTATAATCAGATCAGAGTTGACAAATTCAAAAGGCTTCCATAGCCTTGCCAGCTCATGACAAGAGCCTCGGGTGATTACTGATGTCATAAATAAGAGTGTCAATTGTTAAATGGAAAACAGGAGTCACTGTGCACCTGTTCCCCATGTAGGATCTCTGCCCTTGATGTGTTGTACTATGTGAATTAACGGTATAACTAGTACTCAAGCAGTACTTTATACTTTGTGTGTCTGTGTGGGTGCAATGTTGAAATCTTTACTTAGTATATACTAAATTGATCTTCTGTACATAAAGATATTTGAAAATGAATCTTTATGAAGAATGGAATGGGAGAGGGAGTGGAAGATGGGATGGTTGCATGTGGGAGGGTGATTATGGGGGAAAAAGCAGCTATAATCCAAAAGTTGTACTTTGGATTTATATTTATTAAATAAAAGTTAAAAATAAAAACACAACAAAAAAAAAAACCAGCTAGGGGAGCAGTGCTGTGTTCCTAGCGTGACTTGCAGACACTGCAGGTACATAGACCACAGCAGGAAGTGTGTAAATGGATTCCAGAGCTTCACAGCTCAAAGGAGCTTAGAAGGCGTCTGTTCCTGCTAGGGGCAAGACTTGGGATGTCTTGGTCTCTGTGCTAGCTGAGAGCACTGACCACCTGTGGGAAGGGAACTCTGACAATTGCATGATACCCAATGAAAGGGAACTTTTGCTCCAGGCTCTTCTGCTATCCTATCAGCCAAAGTCTGGCATTGAAGTACTTGACTCGACACCATTTCAGGGATAACCACCAAAGTGAGACTACCATTCAAATGCCAGGGTCTGAGTCACTCTTTGTTTATACCCAGCCATGGGGGAAAGAAAGAACTGTGGGCATGGACTCCAGGCTAAGCGGTGAGGGTTGCAGGAATAGAAGGTAGACAGAATCTAAGCAAGAGGAGTTACTCTCTCTTCAGCTTTGAGGAACCCTGGCTACTGGCAGCACCCACAATATTTAAATTCCAGGAATGTTGTCCTTAAGGGCAGGAAAGGTGCATGCAGGTTCACGGCATTGTCTGACCTACCACACTGTGTCTTTTGACCAAATCATCTGGAGATAAGTAGAGCTGGGTTTCCTAAAATAATCAAAGATGGACAAGAGACTTACCTGTCGAAATACAGTTTTGTCAATGCCTTTGGTTTGATAGGGAACTCATAGAGATCTGGGAAATGATGAAAAACATAAAGTGGGAAAAACCCTCCAACAATCAGATCCCCGTCCTTGAGTAGGCTGGGCTTCATGCAGGTAACGCAGGAGAGCATCTCTGAGCTGCCAAGAGAGAGTGGGAAATGCAGGAGCAGAAGAAGGAAAGTACCAGCCAGCATTGCCAAATTGTCTTTAGAGACCGCAGCCAGAGACCCAGGCATGTGGAGCAAGCAAGTGCAGATGCAGCTCACATTAACTACCCTGGGCTGGGATGAAGCAGCAGGTGCCCAACACACAGTTGTGGAAACAGAGAGCAATGTGTTTCAGACAACTGTCCAGGTCCGTGCAGTCCTGAGTACAGGATGCAGGAGTATTTAAGATGGGACTATTTCTTAGCACCTTAATGGCACTTGGATATTTGGAAGTCATCTCACAGCAATCCCCCAGATAGGAGACCTGGGGACAATATTTGCCCTGAGGTCATGCACCTATGTCTCAGTTCAGTGAAAAAACATGTTTGGAATTTGCCACATCAAGCCCTCATGTGTCAATGTCCTAGACCCTTGGGCATCAAAACTCCAGGACTGTGGTTTCCCTGAGCCAGAGGCTGTTTGGCCATGTTGTGTCCTTAACAGGTCGAAGCCATTTTTTGGCCTTGAAGGGTCCTGAGTGAAGTGAGAAGGCCAGTGGGCTCCTGAGTCAGCAGAGAACTTCCCAGAATCCCCTCTCTGAGTCAAGTAGAGGGCGTGTCTGAGCCCATGTGGCCTCACACCCAAAGTGTCTCAGTCTGCTGGTCACTACAAGAAAATATGAGGAGATACGACGAGAAGGAAGCTCAGAAAGTCAGAACATTATTACCACCTGTTCCAGAATCTGTGTCCTGCTGGCTGCTGTAGTCCCCATGCGGGCTCGAGCCTGGATTCACTGATGGTGCCTTGTCACTGTGCCCTCACACTGGGTTGGGGTCACAAGTTCCCAGGGGCCTGGTTTTCAGGGCAGGTATTCCGTTCTTCAAGACCCTGCACCGATGTCCTAATCACCTCTCCAGGAGGTCCCTGGGATATCCACCAGTATGTGCAGGTTAGAATTTTTACATATGAGTTTGAGGGGCACAATCATTCAGACAGTAGCACAGGATGCATTGCAGCCCCACAACAATACTCACTGATGTTCCCGGAGCTGCCATGTTGATGTAAGGAAATGGGCTTCCAATAGGCCATGGTCAGCGAGGAAAGAAACAATTCTCTCTTCATTTTCTTTTAACTACTGTGTCCTTGACATTGTTTTAAAAGAAGGCGGTGGCTGTACACACACCGTTTGTCAGCTGAGTGATCCTTATGTTGAACTGGCTGTTCTAGTGTTCAGGGCTGGAATCTTTCTCCAAGTGTCACAGTATGAGCACATGTTCATCTAACACTCATTGGTGTTCACTTTGATCCCTGTGACAAGGGGCTGCCCATTTCCATATCTATTGGTACACTTATGTATTATTTCATAACTTTCCCCTGGCAATATATAGTCATTCTGTGAGGAGACACTTCAAGAGATGTAAACATCCTACTACTTCATCAAAGATTCTAAGACCAGAATTTTTAAAAAGATATTATTTATTTTATATGAGAGGTAGAGATACAGATAGTAGAGAGATCAAGAGAGGGAGGGGGAGAGAAAGAGAGAGAGAGAGAGACAGACAGACAGAGAGAGAGAGAGATGTGTTTCCTCTGGTGGTTCACACTTAAAATGGCTTCAATGGCTAGAGCTTTGTCAATTACAAGCTACGAGCCAGGTGCTTCTTCTTGGTCTCCCACATCCACTCCAAATCATTGCAATGGCCATACCTGAGCTGATCTGAATACAGGACCTTCCCCAGGTCTCCCAGAAGGGTGCAGGGGCCCAAGCACTTGGGCCATGTACCACTGCTTTCCCAGGCCATAGCAGAGAGCTGGATCAGAAGTGGAGCTGCTGGGACTCGAGCTGAGACCACATGGGAAGGCAGAACTGTAGGTGGCAACCCTATACCCCAGCCACAGCATCAGCCCCTCCTCTGCATTCCTTTAAAGAACAATTTCTGACTTTATGAGATAGTGTTATCTTACAGAGTCACCTTATGTTTGGCCTGAACCAAACCTGGGATCAAGATTTGTAGAGGACTTTGGTTGTCTTCAGTACAGGATGAAATGATACATCAAGATTGGACATCAAGCTCACTCCATGCTACTGGGGTGAATTGTTCTCTGCCTTACAGCAAACAGCTGGCAAACATGTCCACATGTCTGCTAAATGAACAGACACGTGTGTGTACAGACATAAACCATTTCAGAGTTGTTTCTAAACTTGAAGAAAGCATTTTCCTTATATAACAAAGACTCTAGGAAGTGATGACTTAGTGAACAGACTTAAAAGCTATGGATAAAGAGTAGCTTTGCTTCACTCTGCCTTCCCTCCTGCTTGGAGAGCCTCCCCACTGACTATTAAGCAGGATGTGTCCTGGTGATAGTGGTACAGCCCCCTGATAGTGCTCATTAGTTTTCTCCTTTCCTTTTTCTTCTCTGGTCAAGGACTTGCTGTAGCTCTTTCTACCCTTTCTATTTAGTGCTTTGTCAGACAGGGGGAAGTGTGGAGGCATCAGAAGTATAAGTTTTCACATTGTCTTTGTGTTCATAGTTTTCCGCTTGTAGTAAAGCTTTTACTTTTCCACTTATTTTTCTTATTTCTCAATCCTACCAGTTTTTCTAGTAGAAACAGCTTTAAGCATTTCCTTGCTTTGAGATGGAAGATCCTTTTGTGCATGCACTGTTTGTTTTCTTCCTTTTGTAGTCATTATTTAGAGAAAATGCAGGGGCTGCCAATGTGGTGTAGCAAATTAAGCCATCATCTACAATGGCGGCATCCCATATGGGTGCCAGTTCAAGACCTGGCCACTCCACTTCATTTTTTCTGAAATAGTTATTTATTTATTTATTTGTGAGGTAGATTTATATACAGTGAGAAGGAGAGACAAAGAGAAAGGTCTTCCATCCATTGGTTCACTCCCCAAATGGCCAAAATGACCAAACCTAAGCCAATCAGAGCCAGGAGCCAGGAGCTTCTTCCAGGTCTCCTGCATGAGGCAGTGGCCCAAGCACTTGGGCCATCCTCTGCAACCTTCACTGGACATAGCAGAGAGCTGGAAGGAAGTGGAGAAAATGGGACTGAAACAAGCACCCATATGTGATGCTGGTGTTGCAGGTGGAAGATTAACCTACTGTGCCAGAGCGAAAGCCCCTGGATTTTGACTAAATGATGCAGAGTGAAATTGGGTGTGGAGAGATGAGACCCCAGTGTCTGTTGCATAAAGAGGTCTGCAGTTGCCAGAGACAGAGCCAGAAAACCTGACTGGCCCTTTGGCACATTCAGTTCCCTTTCCCCAACCATCATTCTGCCCCCAAGATGATGTTAATGTCATAATGACTGTGACTGACTCACAGCCCTCGCACTTTCCATCCACCACAGAACAGAATCCAAGCGCCTGAACGTAGCCCAGTAGGAAATATCAATTTGTTCCATCTTCCCAGGAGCATCTCCCACCTCTTCCCTTTGCACTTTGCAAAATTGCAGTGAAACCATGCTCTTGTGATTCTGTTCTTTGGGGAAAGGTGTTTGATGCACCTAGAAAGACCATTCCTCTACTCATTTTCCTGGTCAGCCTAGCACAGATATGTACCTGCAGTGCAATTTTCTCTGCTATCCCTGTACTTGGTAAATCAAATTAGTGGATTTTGACCCTGCTGAGTAAGAAAATATGTGATTTCTCATTAGATGTTTCATCCCTACTGGACCCTTGATTACCCTGGCATTTGATAAATATTACTCTGGGGTTTCTGGTCGGGTGTTTTAGATGAGATGAGTGTTGAAGTTGGTGGACTTTGAGCAAAGAACGTTTCCCTTGCTACTCTGGCTGCGTCTCCTGTAGTCAGTGGAAGGTCTGAATTGAAAACCAAGACAGGAGACTTTGCAGCAGGCAGCTCTGCAATCTCATGGACAACTTCAGCCCTTCCTGGCTCGTCAGCAACACACTAGACAAGGCCTGCAGCCTTGGCCTTCCTGAGTTCTGAGCCTCCTGGTCTACACTGCAGATTTTGGACACATCAGGCCTCATAATGGCATGGTCCAATTTCATGTACTCAACCACGTTTATCTGTGTTGTCACATTTAGAATAGTGTTCCTGTGGCTCCTGAGTTCAGGAGAAGGAGTAGTATGGAAAATAGGTCAGAGGTTACAAATGTGCAGTGAGCGAAATGAGTAAGACTGGTGCACACAGGATGACTACAGCTAATAGTACTCTATACTGGAAATGTGTTAGTAGTACAACTTTTAGCTGCTTTAGTGGTGCACACACTGGAAAATACAACTACACAAATGATGCATATGTGAGTTTATTTGACTCTAGTCATGTGTTCACCTTTACAGCCATATCAAAATATCATATTGTGCAATTAAAACCTGTACAGTAAAAGCACTGGAAAAGTAATTTATGTACAAGAACTAGAAATTTTAAGTTATGATATTAAAATTAAATTAACACAGCCAAAAAGAAAAAAAAACCTACATGTTATTGGGATGAATAGAAAGAAGGCTGGAGTGCCCTGAGCTGTTACAGAAAGAAAGGAGAGCCTCGTGTCCAATGAGAAGGTGCAGTGTTCTGATCCATCTCAGTCCTGCGTACCAGAGTGGTGTGGTTAGATTTAGCCCTTGCTTTCATTTTATAAAACCTGTGAGTTAATGCACAGTCTGCTTATGGCCCCCTAGACCTTGCTTTCTCCTTTATTATTGTAAAATGCTCCTGTTCAGCCGCACCAGAAGGATGTAGCACTTGGGGGCAAAGATGTAGCCCAGGAGTCCCACACTGGAAGCCAATATGGAGAAGACCTCCACAGCCACCATGACCTTCCCCTTGGTGCTATTATACACAGGAATGAAGGTCACCCACACACTGCAGAACACCAGCATGCTGAACGTCAAGTATTTGGCTTCAT